AAGTATTTGCATAAATTGACAAATAAAAAACCGGCCGCACATTTAGTCCAGCTGTCCCTAAGACTATAATATATGAGTAACATTAATTTATCCTCCAAATGGCGAAGCTGACGTATTGAAAACAATGTGATGGTAAAAGCCCGTATACAACATTAGAACACTTTTTATGTATTTGCAAATCATAAAATTTAGCCGTAAGATGTGTAAATATATAGGAATCTGGAGGTATCAATGTAAAAATAGCAATTATACCCACCTGTCGTTTACTTACCCACCCCAACAATGTCATGAACAAGGAAAAACCTCAGTAGTTCTTGTTATAAATTAAGAGAAGTTCAACTTGGCCATTCATTCTCACAAACCTTAACTTCAAAGAGCCCAACTAGCCCTCAACGACAGCCATGAGCTCTGCTCCGACACCACATGCGCTCATTCTCCCTTATCCTGCGCAGGGCCATATCCTTCCACTGATGAAGCTCTCTTATTGTCTCATTGAGCGTGGAGTCCGCATAACGTTCATCAACACACACTTTAACCACAATCGTATTTTCGCTACAAAGGCGTCTGGCCAAGCTACGTTTATTGGCGAGGAGATTGATGGAATCAATTTTGTGGCGATCCCCGACGGCCTTGAACCGGAAGATGATCGGCATGACTTCGGGGGGCTGACGCAATCCTTGATGAAAGTGATGCCAAGTTTGCTAGAAGAATTGATTAGAGATAATGGTGGAGAGTTCACCTGCTTTGTTGCAGATATCAACATGGCTTGGGCTCTCAAGATCGGCAAGAATTTGGGGCTTCGGACGGCTGCCTTTTGGCCTGCAGCAGCTGGACTTCTTGACGCCATATTTAGCATCCCCGAGCTTATTCAGAAGGGTGTCATTGATGAACATGGTAAGTTGTTGTGGAACAGAGCAGCCGAGTAAGACTTCAATTTAAGTATTAGTTTATAGGAGGATTTACATACATATACCATTAAAATTTAGGTGTTAGATATGTCAATAGATAAGAATTTGGTGGTATGTATGTAAATGCTTCTTTAGGAAATTCCTTTTTCTTATGCCTTTCATGGATCTTTTGATTCATTGCAGTTGTAAACTGCAAGGAAAAAGAGAAAGCTTGATAGCCATTTTTTTCAACAAACAGAACAATTAATGAACTTTTTTCATGCCATATTTTTTTTAGCCTGTAAAAATCTTATATTTTGGATGTCTTGACATAACTAAAAAGAAAAAAGAGAGTATATACAACTCTTGATAAAATTTATTTATTTAACTTGTCCCTCAATTAATAGTCCATATTTCTTAATTTAAGTTCAATGCCATTATCTTTTTTGGTTCATGTTAATTTATTTTTCTTAACTTATCACTTTATTTTTTTTTTGAAAAAATAATTTAGGGGCACTAATTAAGAAGGAAGTTATCCAGTTGAACCCAGGAGCGACTCCCTTGGACTCAACCAACCTCCCCTGGCTTTGCTTTAACGATGCATATACAGAAAAAATAATCTTCAACTACTTCATTACCAACAACCAGGCAACTTCTAACGCGGAGATGATGATCTGCAATAGCTATGAGGAGGTTGAAAAACCCATCTTCAGCAAAATATCACGCATTTTACCTGTGGCGCCACTTCATTCAAAATGGGAATCAAGAGATGATCTTAATTTATGTCAGTTTTGGCCAGAGGATAAGCAATGCATTGCTTGGCTTGACAAACAAACAACAAATTCTGTTATTTATGCGTCTTTTGGCAGCGTCACTATCTTCAGGGCTTGACAAACAAACAACAAATTCTGTTATTTATGTGTCTTTTGGCAGCGTCACTATCTTTAGTAACAAACAATTTCAAGAGCTAGCACTTGGTCTCGAGCTCACTGGTCGGCCATTCTTATGGGTAGTAAGGCCTGACCTTACTAATAAATATGTTAATTGCACTTATCCATTAGGGTTTGAAGAAAGAGTTGCAGAACGAGGAAGAATGGTTGGTTGGTCTCCTCAACGTAAAGTTTTGAAGCATCCCGCAATTGCTTGTTTTATTTCACATTGTGGCTGGAACTCAACCATAGAAGGATTGAGAAATGGAGTGCCTTTCCTTTGTTTTCCATATTTCGGTGACCAATTGTTCAACCAAAGATACATAACTGATGTTTGGAAGATAGGTTTGAATTTGACTCATGATGAGAATGGACTTATTTCTAAAGAGGAAGTTGGATCAAAAGTGGAGGAGTTGCTTAAGAACACAAATATTATCACAAAATCCCAGACTTTGAAGCAGTTAGCTGGTAGCAGTGTTATGGAAGGAGGGTCATCTTTGAAGAACCTCAACAAATTTGCAGAGTTTATAAAAGAAACACAAGTCAAGGAGGTCCAAAATTTAGTTTGAATAGTTAATCTTAAAAGTCTGTGGAGATAGTGATAGAGAAAAAAGTGGGGTGATTTGTTGGTGTGAGTTATTGGTGTGATGAGTAATGCTATAATTTCTAAACTTGCAACATAGTAAGTACCCTATTTAATGGCCAAGTGGATCCTTTTATAAAGCATCCTGGTATTATATCTTTAAGTATAAATTTTAGATAAGATATCATTATTTTGTTCCAATTTTTTTT